ATACATACATACATACATACATACATACATACATACATACATACATATGGAGGTTGATAACGACAGACATACACAGATGGAGGAGGAGGATGACACACATGCATGTGTCCACACATCAAAACACACATACAGGGACAGCAATAACATACAGGGACAGCAATTACATACAGGGAGAGCAATAACATGTGTGACTAACTCACCCTGCAGGCTGAGTTTAGTGCTCAGCCAAACCGTGATCTGTAGGTATTACTGGAAAATGAGGTGGGCTGTCAGTCCAGCCCTGACATCAGTGTGTCTGCTGCTCTAAAACTGCCAACATTTGACCGATGACTTGGACTAAAGTATCATCTATTTGTAACCTGGAGGAGAATCACTGAGGGACGGCACCTGAATGCCACCTGGTAGATCCTGCTTCAGGTGCAGAGGTCCGTGAGAGGACCTGCCATTTACAATGCGAATAGTTTCGTTTTTTTTGCCCATAACGTTTTAGTCATTTTTAATGAAAGCATGCACCAAATGGTATTAGGTGAATGACTGAGCTATGGCAAATGACTCATAGAAGATGACAAACGTTGCGCGGCCGTATCAGTTGTTTCGAATCGGTGGTGGAAAAGTGAAGACACGCTTTTTTTGTTTTTGCAGCAGAAATATATGTTGTGCTCCACGCTAAACTTGTAGCTTTGTCATCTGCTGGAGCCGGTCCCAGAATACAAGAGGCAGAAGGCAAAGAACAGTGTGAGCACATTTATTCAACTCTGCTGTTTTTGTTGCAAATGCAAGCAGATATGAATATCAATTAGAAGAAAAAGATCCCTTTTGTGTTTTTTTTTCTCATTTGTCAGCACCACCTGGATAGCTTGATTCTAACAGATTGTGTTACTTTCTGTGTAAAACATCCGAGTGTTGGCATTCTTTTTTTGTGATGTCACAGTTATAATATTCTTTTTATGCTTTTTGTCATTAGCTGAAACTCAGATAAATTATTACATATATATATAAATGTAGATAGATAGACAGAGAGAGAGAGAGAGAGATAAAGAGAAAGAGAGAGATAGATAGTTATATAGTTTTTTCATCTTTTCCTCTCCTCTCTACTTAAGTGCTTCTATGTAGTCACCTCTTTGCTTATCTGCTTTTCCTTAATGTTTCATTCTTTATCATGTATTATATTTTTTGGATTTCATTACATTTTGTCCGTTTAGCTTATGGTTTTAGAGCTTGGTGCGTCAGGTTTCTCTCCCCTGTCCACTGACCGCCTCACTCCACCTTCGCAAAACCATTTC